CTGAAGGCGACCTGCAGTTTGTCCACCAGTAATACCACGTCACAGGCAGGCGCGTTTGAGATAGAGTAGACATCATGGCCGCTGGAATCAACGTCAATGGTCTCGTGTGCTCTTCTCAGATGAAAGCAGATTCAATTTGTCCTTCCATGATGGTCGGCATAGGATTTATCGTCGCAGTGGAGAGCGAATCACAGATGCAACTGTCGCTACGCATAACCGATTTGGCGGGGGGTCGGTCATGGTTTGGACGTACTAGACTGCACGTGGTCGACTTTAATCTTACCGTACAGCGTTATCGGGACGAGATTCTGGCTCCTATAGCAGTACCATTTCTGCAAGCCATGCATAGCTTTAATGGTCGACCTTCTTTACTGCAAGACAACAACGCAATGCCTCATAGGGTCAGAATTGTCACGGAATTCCTTAGGCAGCAGGTGTAGAGCGGATGGAGTGGCCAGCATGCTCACCAGACCTCAACCCAATTGAGCATGCGTGGGATGAACTCGGTCGACTTGTGTACACACGTCACCCAGCACCAACGGATCTCCCAGGACTCCGCAGAGCTCTAGTAGAGCAATAGAATGCAATTCCGCAAGCGTTCTTTATGAACTTGATAAGGAGCATGAGAACAAGGTGCACTTGTGTCTTGGACGCGCGAGGAGGGTACACAAGATAGTGAATGACCAAGTGCTTCATGTTTGTCATGTTCATTTGGGGGCGGTTGGTCTATACAACTGATGTTTGCTCGTACTGGTTGAATTGTTTGTTCCCGTGTCACAATGGGTGACGTTTGTCAACACATTAAACATTATCTTGATACTCTTAGTTCTATTATTTCTTAGAAACTTTTCTTTACATGTGCTACATATCATTTGGGCCTTTATTAATGACGACTAGTGTATAAGAGGCCAAATGTATCTTACCTTCGCAGTTATCGCCAGCAGTGTTGGCGGGGCAGTCGCAAGTGCTGGTCGATGTATCACACGAGCCACCATTCTCGCACCCGGGGTAACAATCACAGACATTATTTACTCTGTCGCATAAACCCGTGGAGGGGCAAGCTGGATCACAGGCACCACCTGTGATAAAAAGACATTTACTTGCTACCATGGACGCTTTACTTACTGAAACTAGGTTTGATTAAAGTTCCAAGTGTAGCTATGACTATTATATATTTGAGCGCTCAATCTGTTTATACTGAATGAAACATTTCAGTGTGTTTTTTTCTTAGGTATAGGCAGTAATTGTTTTCTTTCTCACACGGAGTGATAAGGTCACATTAATCGATGTATACTCATGCCAATAATGGTTGTCATCCCTCCCCACCCACCACATCCCACCCCACACCCCTCTCCAACAAAAAAATTGAAGGGGTGACAACCATTATTGGCATGAGTATATAACAAACGATGTGTAATTTCTACTTGACCAAATATACTCACCATTAAGATATAAATTCTGAACATGTGTTGCTTAAAGGTTGGAGGTGTGATGTTGTAAATTGCTCTAAGTGCTTTCAATATGTCATAAATGTTCTGTCTATTGTCAGCATCTATTTCACAACATTACGACCCTTTTGACATTGTCAGAGGAAATTAGTGCTGAAAACATCTCCAAACCCGAAAATTACCTTTCTCTAGTCTTAGCACCTTTTCAAAATTGTGAAATTTGAGATCTTGATTACTAATGAAATTGAATGATTGTGGCCTTGAATAGTATTTCAGTTACATCGCTAAATAAGTTTTGTCATATCGTATATTAATCATTGTGTTCATATTTGATAAATTGAAGTATATAGATACTTTGTCGGCTCCGCTCATAAAGATATTCACGAGCGACATCTGTCCATATAAAAAATACTTCATTAAATAGATGCATGTCAGTAATACCGGTATTGACCAACAGTGTCCGTACAGGCTAAAAGTAAAAATACTTCAGTACAGGCTAACAGTAAAAATACTTCATTAAACAGATGCATGTCAGTAATACCGGTATTGACCAACAGTGTCCGTACAGGCTAAAAGTAAAAATACTTCATTAAACAGATGCATGTCAGCAATACCGGTATTGACCAACAGTGTCCGTACAGGCTAAAAGTAAAAATACTTCATTAAACAGATGCATGTCAGCAATACCGGTATTGACCAACAGTGTCCGTACAGGCTAAAAGCAAAAATACTTCATTAAACAGGTGCATGTCAGTAATACCGGTATTGACCAATAGTGTCTGTACAGGCTAAAAGTAAAAATACTTCATTAAACAGCTCCATCTCAGTAACGCTGGTGCTAACGAGCCGTATCTGTTCATCCTGAAGGTGAAAATACGTCAATAAACATCTACATCTCAGTAACACCGGTATTGACGAACAGTCTCTGTAGACACTGAAGGTGAAAATACTTCATTAAACAGATGCATTTCAGTAACACCGGTATCAACGAGCCGTATCTGTACATAGTGACGGTTAACAAAATCATTAAACAGATATTCTCTCATAACACAGACATACACCAACCGTAATTGTACTTACAGAAGGTAAACAAATTTCATTCAGCAGTAGCATCTCTCATTAACAGGCACTCACGAACTATACTTCCCATCAAAAGTTTAGACTCACTAGTGTAAATGTAGCCACTTACTTCAGGCAACTGTTCTAAATTAATTTTTTCAAAATATTCCATATTTTTTAAAGGTACTGTTTATGTATTGTAGAACAAATTCGTAACGTTGAAAGGATTATTATTATGCGTTCAATAAATGACAAAAATCAGTAAAAATTGGCGAATTCTATACAAAGCTTTACAACAAAACGTAGCTGATCACATGCACGATATTTGCACATGCTTTTCAACAATTTGATGCATGTTCCCCGTGCAATTCATCTGCATATGGTTTGCAGTTGGTTTCCCCATGTTAGTGGAGAAATCAATCTTCGATGTAACCAAATATATAAACATAACATATAGTGAGTGGTTTAGGTGAGGCTAAACTCCTGATGGGAAGTATATATCTGAACAGACAGAATTTAAAACTAGTCCATGTGACGTCTTTACATGTTCAATACTTGATTAAGCATACATATAAATATATAACATAACAATCATGACGATCTACCATGGCAGCCTTCAGTGACTGAGACTTACACACAGTTGAAGAGACTGAATTGATAATGCTTCCAAGATCTTCAGGATTGTCAACGGAGAATACATATTCAAAGTCCGGATCGTCGGCTATGTAGTTGAGTTCAGTGAGGTCCGATAGGCCCGTTCCAACACCAAACATCTCATCCACTTCTGCACGCAGCAGGTCTGCTTCGGTTGCTGTACCTGAGGAATCGTCACTTATAGAACCAGTGATGAAGATGACAATGTTTTCAGCGTTAGGACGGTCACCTAGGTTGGATGCCAAAATATCGCTTCTTGTGAGTGCAAACGCAGTACCAGGAAGTGCCATGCTCTCCCCTCTCTGGACAGCGTCATCCACTGCAGACAATAGCGCGGGTTTATCTCGCATGTAATCTTGAAGGATAAACTCAACCACAGCAGTTGTCCCAAACTTGACGAGGGCAACGTTGACATTGTTGTTTGCAATGGTAAAGGTGTCAGTGACATCAAAGATGAAGGTTTTCATGGAATTAAAGGTAAGAGCAGAGATGCGACTAGAGTCCTCCAAAATGAAAATCAGATCTTTCCTTGCACTTGGACAAGCTGAAACATAATCAACGACAGTTTTAAGCCATGGATGGTCGCAATAACAATAAATGAACAATAACAGTCACACGCTTATGGAACCTGAACACGCCCAAGGCGAGCAGAATATCGAGATGCAAGCTTCAAACATGTTTGTTCAAAATATTTCTAGGATGTACCTATAGGGCTACGAAATACCTTGATTCCTCCATTTGATATACTCTGTGTATCATACACAGCAATGATATACAGAACACATCTGTGATGGGTATTCAGTACCAGTTAAATAAAAGTGAAGTGGATGCAGCAAATATGTGAAATAGGTAAGATAACACACTGCTATGACGGATAAACGCAAAGTGATGAGATTAAAGCACTGTCGTGGTGGATATACAGACATAGGTGAGATAACACACTGATATGGCGGATAAAGGCAAACTGATGAGATAAATTATTGCTTTTCGTGGCTATACAGAAATAAATAAGATAACACTGATATGACGGATAAAGGCAAACAGACAAGATAAAGCACTGACGGGGTGGATAAATAGAAATAGGTGAGATAACACACTGCGATGACGGATAAAGGCAAACAGATGTGATAAAGCACTGCTTTGGTGGCTATACAGAAAGAGGCGAGATAACACACTGATATGATGGATAAAGGCAAACAGACGAGATAAAGCACTGCTGTGGTGGATATACAGAAAAAGGTGAGATAACACACTGATATGGCGGATAAAGGCAAACTGATGAGATAAATTATTGCTTTTCGTGGCTATACAGAAATAAATAAGATAACACTGATATGACGGATAAAGGCAAACAGACGAGATAAAGCACTGACGGGGTGGATAAATAGAAATAGGTGAGATAACACACTGCGATGACGGATAAAGGCAAACAGATGAGATAAAGCACTGCTTTGGTGGCTATACGGAAAGAGGCGAGATAACACACTGATATGATGGATAAAGGCAAACAGACGAGATAAAGCACTGCTGTGGTGGATATACAGAAAAAGGTGAGATAACACACTGATATGATGGATAAAGGCAAACAGACGAGATAAAGCACTGCTGTGGTGGATATACAGAAAAAGGTGAGATAACACACTGATATGACGGATAAAGGCAAACAGACGAGATAAAGCACTGCTGTGGTGGATATACAGAAGGATAAAGGCAAACAGATGAGATAAAGCACTGCTGAAGTGAATATACAGAAATAGGTGAAATAACAGACTGATATGACTGATAAACGCAAACAGATGAGATAAAGTACTGATGTGATGGATATACAGAAATAGGCGAGACAACACACAGCTATAACGGATAAAGGCAAGCAGATGAGATAAAGCACTGACGGGGTGGATGTGGAGATATAGGTGAGATGACGATGCTGTGATAGATAAAAAGAAATAGCTGAAATAGCACTGTTGAAAAAGTCTCACGTCCTGAAGATGGCATAGCCCATGTCGTACTAATGACCAGGAGATGGACCAATAAAGGTGAAAGACACTGTCGTAGCATCACTGGATTGGACTCGAGAGCGGGGATGCAGCTAAACCCCAGTAGCTTTATAGGTCCTTCGATATGTCAACACTGACGTCATTTTCAAGTTCACTGAGCCAACAGATGTCTTCAGAATAAATTGACCAATGTCATTGAAAGTTCAGCTTCCCGTTTATTATTGCCACAAAGTTCATCGACCTCAGCGTGATGTGCCGTTTATCCGTGTGTCAGTCAAACTATACGAAATAGTTTCAATGATTTTCCGTGACAATTTGAATTATTATTATGTCAGAATGCAGATTAAACGGCTTGTTGCTGGAGATATCAGTAGTGTACTCTAGTATGATCACTGTTAATTATTAAATTGATATGATGGCGAGTGTCGTAAAATAATTTTAATTTCCCAACGAAAAAGGAAAAATGTGACAAAAAGAAAACTGACTCAGTGACAACAGCAGGTGTTTGAGAAAGAGTAACCATAACCTGACCTATAGAACCTGTGGCAAAAATACTGTTCCTGCAAACTTTTGAACATGTCATACCTGAAAATCATTATTTGCAATCATAAATTGTATTGTTTTCAAATCTGCATGGTAGACAAGGTACTGGACAGTTTCATTCAAATATCTGCACAATCTACATGCTATTTTTACATTATAATACAAAATCACACATGGTTTCGAGTGGGAAGTGACTGGATCTGAGCACCAAACAGAAAACTTTCTGATTCATATTTAAGGCCAAACAATTCCATCCGAGCAAAGGACCCCGCAGGGTACAAAATGTGAAAAAGCCCCAAACTTGGCACAAATGTTCACTAATATTTGGTGATCATTTTAAGATAAGGAGGCTTTAGAAATAATCATGCTTCCGCGCATGCGCATCATTTGAATATTACATAACAAATTTCACTGAAAATAACAATAATTTTCAAACAGTTTTATATGATTTTGATAAGCCTTTGACTTACAATCACATACGTGCTGAACCTTTCTAGCATATTCCTTGGCACAAACACAATGATGAACACCTCAGGGAGGCTTTTCTGCAGGTACAGAGATGTTTGCAGCCTTTCGTGCATTTGCATGAAACCAATTCCAAGCATGATTTTTCTGCTTCCGGAAGTGTTGTCCAAATGGGTTTGCAGAGTCCTTCGTCGTTCCTGACCCAACCTAGTCTGTTGGAGATGTTCTTGCTGGGCTATAACAGTCTGCCCCCATACATGTCCTCCATGCTAGGAGGTTCTCTCGATGTGCTGCTCAAGGGCAATTTGCATTGGAGGGATGCCTGGTAAAGAAATATTCTTTAGGAACATAGATTTTCTCGGACTGTTGATGTGAGTATCCTTCTTGCTTTGTCATACATCTTGATGACAAACCTTTCAATTGTAGTGGAGGTGTTGTCTGGTATGAAGGTTGGAGCAGATGCTAGTGTCAACAGGGCTTCAGTCAGCTCAGGCACCGGATTCCAGGCTGCCCAAGCAGACTTCTTCCCCCGTCTGAGCCAAATTTGGTGCTTTTATCACAAAATGCACAATTCTTAAGACATGTCTAGCTAAGCAGCCTAACTACTAAGCTCTGAGGAAGGTCAGAGAGGCTCTCCTTGACAGGCTGGGCCTATGTCGATTTGATGTGAGACAAAGCTTCGTTGGCTCTCATTTTGGTTGGTTGGCACTCAGACACATCGACAAAATTGACATTGAGTCTGTGCTAACATCCTTGGCAAGCAAACAGTGGAATGTCATATTTTCATCGTGAGTTTTGACGGGCCTCACAAGAGAATTATTAAACAATTAACGAGTGCAGTTGTTAATCTACCATTAACAATATATCTATTTTGCAAGCTATTATTAGTAAGGCGTTTGATAATTTGATTACCGTTTGGTTAATAGGCACTTATTGTTGCATATTTTACTGCATCCATGCTGTGTTTACAATGTTACATCTGGTAAATAATAATTTATTGTTATTATTTTAAGAGCTATTGTGGTGTCAGACAAGGGTGTACTCTTGGTCCTCTACTGTTTTCTCTTTTCATCAGGGAACTAATAGGTTTCCTCCCTAGCCAGTTTAGTGACGCAAAATATATTTCTGACCAGACGTTGAATATTATTGCGTTATTGTTCGCTCACGAACTGATATTTATTGCTAAGAGTATTATAAAGCTGCAAAAAAGGTTGGGTGCTTTACATGAATATTCTTGTAAATGGCGGGCTGTGGGGTAGCCTAGTGGTTAAAGCGTTTGATCCTCATGTCAAAGACCCGGGTTCGTATCCCCACATGGGTACAATCTGTGAAGCCCATTTCTGGTGTCCCCCGCCGTGATATTACTGGAATATTGCTAAAAGCGGCCTAAAACCATACTCACTCACTCACTCACTCACTTGTGAATGGGACATGGATCTTAATACAGATAAGAGTAAAATGTGGGGCCCAAATTTAAATATGAAAAGAAATCTTTTTCAATGGTAACCCTATGGAAACGGTTAAATGCATATGAACATGTTTTATTTATGATAACGCCAGACGTTCTATGGACAAATGTATGTCATACATTGTCAGAGCAGGCAAGTAATTTAGTTCATGACATAGTCAATAAAATCATTAATTATGCGATTTTACGTTTCATTCACTGATGCATTTTGCATATTTGAAAGAAATGTGCAACATATGTTGCAATTGAGATTACTCTTTCTCAGTAAAGTACAGATTCTAGTACTTTTGTTAGGTTGAATCCCTTCCGGGATTTGAACCCACGCTCTTAGAGTCAGGCACCTAATCGCCAGCACACAACTTTAAAGGCATTTAGCCACCGCGGCTTCCACCAAAATTCAGATCCACCAGATTCTAGTACTGTCGAGTCCCATCAGGGATATGAGCCCACACTCCCAAAGTCAGGCAGAGTCAACCTCACAAAAGTGCTAGAATCTGTCCTTTACTGAGAAAGTGTAATCCAACTAAAACATATGTTAAGATTGTACCAATTTGTTTGTTTTTAATATGGGATATAGATCATCGCAATAGCATTGGGAATGTGAGTGGTATCGTCTTCAGGTTACATATCTAACGTTTGACGTTATACAACAGACAGATATACCCACCAATGTTATGTCCATTGTGAATAGTAAGCAGTCAAATCAGTCTGGACATTTAAATAGTTGCTTTATCAATATGGATTTGGATGTTGGATACGTCTGGATGTTGGTGATACTGAAGCATTTATGTATACATTCAGTCAATGAATTAAGGATTCTGCACAGCTGAACTGGCACTCTGTAGTCGATAGTCATTCTTTAGCATTTGATAAATCTCATACAGATTCAGTCTCGTGAACACAGGCGAATATTGACTATATTTTGAAGAAAACATGTCTTTGATGATAAGGATAAACGATTTGTGTGTAAACATTGCAATGCTATAAGAAATTAACATTAAATAATGTACAATTGTCATTTTTGGGGGTTCGGTAGGGTAACCTAGTGGTTAAAGCGTTCGGTCGTCACGCTGAAGGCCCGAGTTCGAATCCCCACAGGGGTACAATATGTGAAGCCCATTTCTGGTGTCCCCCACCGTGATTTTGCTGGAATATTGCTAAAAGCGGCGTAAAAACTCACTCAGTCACTTACTCATCTTCTCTGCAAAAGAGGGAGAAATATCTATTACAAAATGTAAATTATCAGTTGTACTATGAGTCAAGTGTCATTTTCTACAAGAACATAATTGTATCTTGTATATTATTTAATGTTGATCACCGAAATGTAAACAGGCTTCTCCTCATGTACATCTGACGCCAGACAAGGTGAACGTCTATCGCCTGTGTTGTTCGCATTATTTATAATGATCTCAAAGTATGACTCATATGGCGGTGTTCGGTTCAAATCAAACTAGTTTAATGATACAATTATCTCTACTTTATGTTGTCGCTGGGCTATGTGCTACAAAAGCAAAAGTTTAGCCAAATCATTTTTCCCTTATTCCACAAGTACCATGGAGACTAAACATAATACCATATAAACACACTAATAATAACAGAAAGTCCACACGATTTTTTTCAAAGGGCAGATTTTGACTGGAGGTTCTAAATAAAATTTACATTTACCAGACTATTTGTAACTTTCATATCATAAGCAAATATATAAAATCTATAAAACCCTTACCGATCCTTTGCCATTTTTACGTCTTGCGCATATCCATTTACATTTTACAGATTCAATAGGCCATCCAAGCCAAGAAGTTTAAGTGATTGGTACTTTTTAAAAAGGTCGCCGTTTTATGTTCATCCATAACATTCCGCAATGGACTGTTTTATGTATAGTAGTGTAAGTGTTAAGGGCAGCGACATATTTTCTTTCATCTCAACAATGAGTAATTGTAACAACTCGATGACAAATCCTTCATCTGGTGAAAGGAGACAGAGCGAAGCGCCCTTAAAGAAGGGTGGCATCATGGCATGTGACCACTTTTGGCGTCGATACATGGTGCATTGAAAAATAATTATATCATTGAAAGCATCCTGGAAGATAATGTTTCAAGTTTGCCCAACTGAGCTAGAGCTGATCCTGTCGGCGTCTGTCAATTTTATCGTGACATGGTTTTGGAGGTGAGTGGGTTGGAGAAACAGGCGGTAATGGCAGTTTAGCAAAGCAGCCTCAAAAAACTCATGATCTTTCTACTACGTGGCGTTGCATTGTTGCACTGTGGTGTAGTGGTTAGAGCGTCCGCCCGGAGAGTGGAAGGTGGCGGGTTCGATCCCCGACCGCGTCATACCAAAAGAGACGTTAAAATATGGTACTTGGTGGTCCCTGCCTGGAGCTCGGCATTAATGGGTACAACAAGGACTGGTCGGCTCGGAGTCAGTATAATGTGTCTGAGTGGGGTATTCATGCTTCACTGCGGCATGGTATCTCAGTGAGCTAGCACTATATAACCAGCTTCAGTCTGGGCTAGTACAAGCAGCCGCACATACACATACACACGCATGCACGTCGTCATATGAGCGAAATATTCTCAAGCACGACGTTAAACCCAATTTCACCTCACCTCACCTCACCTCGCATTGTTGCATTTCAAAAAAGTTCGAACATGACCTTGGACGATATGGCTAAAATGCCGTTAACAATAATGGCATCTGTACTTCCATGAAATATGATGTCATCATATACTGTCAGACACGTACCCCAAACTATCGGCGTTGAGTAACGTAAGTGTTAGTTCTCTAGGTCGCCTGTAGACCTTTACACGACCATCAGAGCCGTCAAAGGAAACCCTGGATACTTCTGAGAACGGTATACTGTCCGTGTCTAGTCTTCTGAAACTCATCTGCTGTCTACGTCAAGCTGGAGGTGCCTGACGGTGATTTTGAAGCAAATGTTCCCTTCATTTGTCTCAACCCAGGAATTCCGAGACGTTAATGTAGCAGTTTGGTGCACCACTCGAATACGGTTGTCTTTCTGAATGACAATTGTTACTGAACTTTAATGAGCACTGTTACCTTTTTTGTTAGAATACTTGTCATTAAACAGTTATTTGTTCTGAGAGTGTCGTTTTCAAGATACGTGTCGTATCGTTCTAGTTTAATTATGTTTGCAAGATGAGATCTTGACAGTTCAACAGTTGACCGAAATAATTACGGTCTTCTTTCAAAACGAATGTGAATAGGGATGTAAATGAGCAATTGCGTTGCTTGCATTTCAAAATCATTAACACAGAACATGACCTGGAATGGATGTTCTAGATCAGTACAAACTTGAAAATGATGTATTTTGATTAACGCTGAATATAGCCTTGACAGACTCCTTTATCTTACAACGCATTTATCAAAACATCTAGAGCGTAATGCCAGTACAGAAAACGGTAGTCATTTGTATCCAGCGTACTTGATTGCGTAATACATCCAGGTAGAATTATTCCCAAATGCATTCATTGTAAGTCTGTATGCAGCGTTTCTGGGTCTGGCCGCCCCGATTTCTTGAAACAAACTTAAGTCTGAGTTCAAAAATTTAAAGTTTTACTCAATTTTGAGAAAACGCAGGAAAATGGATTTTCACAGAATAGACTGAAATTGATATTTAACTTAAACATAGTAGAAATTTAAGTTTAGTAGATACGTAACTTGAGTTGTTTTGGCTGTTTGATTCTAGAAATGCATCAGAGTAAGGAATTCAGCTGTTTTAAATGGTCAAACTCAGTTTGAAATTTAATAAAACTTAAGTTTGTTTTGAGAAATCAGATACTGGAAACATCATTCCGAACGGGGGCGGTGGTGTAGAGTAGTGGTTAAAGCGTCGCTGGTCACACCGAAGACCCGGGTTCGATTCCCCACATAGGTACAATGTGTGAAGCCCATTTCTGGTGTCCTCCGCCGTGATATTGCTGGAATATTGCTAAAGGCGACGTAAAACTAAACTCACTCACTCACTAATTCCGAGCGTGCAAATTGTGTGATGGTCCCGCCGTTAGTGCAATGGTCCATTCATGTGATTCCGATATTCCAACAGCTCCAACCTCTGATGTCTACATCTCACAACTTTTGAGGTGCAATGCTTCTTAAAGAAAGATTTCAAAGATCCGGAACATTTTAAGGTGAACATGTTTGCATATGTTTATGACGGGTGCCACCGGTGGGGCAGGATACGCTTATAGTTTTGCGAACTCCTGCTATCATCAATATTTGATAGTGATTCATAAACACATGCTTTGTCATTCTATCTCGTGGTGTTAATCACTGGATTGTCAGGTCCAGACCCGATTGTTATACAGACTGTGTCCTACAGATGTAATTTCTTATGGATGTGGAAAGGGTTTTATCTTTTCTATTTGCAAAGTAATACTTTTATCGCCTTACTCGTCGGGCATACTGTGTTGGAAAATCAGAGGTATATAACGAAATTGTAATTAGTCTAAATTTGATTTAAAACCGAACGCATAGCGTGAGGTTTTAAATAAAAATATTAGAGCTGTTATAATTTCGTTTTATACCTGATTTTCCAACACAGTATGTTTATCTCCATTCTACCAAAACCGCGGTATTAAGATTTTAACAAAAATACATATTGTTATATACATCTGAATGACTTTAATTAACGACTTTAATACAATCCAGTATTTACTGAAGTCATGGTAGAATGATTCATAAACACATGCTCTGT